AATTCTAATATGAAGGCAGTAGATGATCTAATACAAGGTGGGGTGTACGGGAATGAGGGAGCGGGAAGAGGGGAGGAGGGAGTGGGTGGGAGGGTCTTGATGTATATATGATACACCTCTTGGGGGTGGGCCTCCTTGGGACTGAATTAGCTGGGACTACAGGCATGTGCCATTATGCCAGGCTAATTTTTTCTATTTTTTGAAGAGATAAGGTCTTGCTCTTGTTCAAGATGGCCTCAAACAATCCTCCCACTTCAGCTTCCCAGAGTGCTAGCATTACAGATGTGAACCACTGAGCCCATCCTGGCACAACCTTTCTTATTACATTTTTGTAACACACATCAACATCTTAAAAATTCTCATGGCTTTTGATCTAACAATTTTTTTTCTTTTTCTAGTAATTTTATTTTCATAAATTTCTAAGAAAATTATTAAAAGGTTGGTCCTGAGTTTAGCTTTACAGGGATTTAGTAAAATATTCAAAGAAAAGTTATTAAGAGGCTAGGCACCCGTAGCTGACAGTGAGCTAAGGCACCAGCCACATACACCAAGGCTGGAGGGTTCGAAGCTGGCCCAAGCCTGCTAAACAACAATGACAACTGCAACCAAAAAATAGCCAGGCCAACTGTGGTGGGCGCCTGTAGTCCCAGCTAGTTGGGAGGTTGAGGCAAGAGAATCACTTAAGACCAAAAGTTAGAAGTTGCTGTGAGCTGTGACGCCACTGTACTCTATGGAGGGTGACAAACTGAGACTCTGTCTCAAAAAAAAAAAAAAAAATTTATTAAGAACCTAAAATATCTAATATGATAATTTATTGAAATAAGCTATGAAACTATGATATATTATTTCTACATAATGAAAGTCTATGCAGTCATTACAATAATGTATCTCACATACTGTTGGTGGGAATAAAAATCAATAAAGCATATTTTGAAAGGCAAATTGAAAATATTAATAACTATTAAAAATTCATTGGCCAAGCAATTCCACTTGGCGAAATATATTCCACAGATTTATACTTGTGCCTAGATATCTGTCCAAGGACACTTATGGCAGCACGCTTACAAAAGCTAAAGATTATAAACAACTAAAAACAGTTACATACTACACAGCAATTAAATGAAAAGAAGGCATACAATGTGCAAGGAAGATCTACATGTGGTACTCATAGTACAAGATATCCAGACATACTATACATTTTTTTAAAAGTTTTAGAACACTATATGTATTCTCCTTTGTGTTCTCTATTTGTGAATACTCATAGAAGATTTCTACAAAAAAAAATTATACAATGACTTAGATGAAAAGGGATGAGGGTTCTTTAATTTTGTATCCTCATGTACTGTTTGAATTTTCTATAACTTTGCATTGTTTTTATAATCTTTTATTAAGTTCTAGCCATTAGTAGTCATTTTTTTTTTTAATTTATTTTTTGAGACAGAGCCTCAAGCTTTCCCCGTGGGTAGAGTGCCATGGCATTACAGCTCACAGCAACCTCCAACTCCTGGGCTCAAGCGAGTCTCTTGCCTCTGCCTCCCAAGTAGCTGGGACCACAGGCGCCCGCCACAACGCCCGGCTATTTTTTGGTTGCAGCCATCATTGTTGTTTGGCGGGTCCGGGCTGGGGATTCGAACCCGCCACCTTAGGTGTACGTGGCTGGCGCCTTAGCCGGTTGAGCTATAGGCGCGGAGCCAGTAGTCATTTTTTAATAACTATCCTTTTCCTTACAGATGTCTTGCTTAAATAGGAAAAAGAAGCTTAGAGAAACTATTGCCATCTTAGTAAATAACAAATAATCAAATATATTTCTCATGTTTGAATTTGCAATCTGCTACACTAAAACAGTAACTTGGAATATAGTCCCAGCTACTTAGGGAGGCTGTGAGTACACTTGCGAATAGCCACTGGGCAAGACAGCAAGATTCTGTCTTTTCAGCTCGGCGCCTGTAGCTCAGTCAGCAGGGCACCAGCCATGTATACCAAAGTTGGCAGGTTAGAGCCCAATCCTGGCCTGCTAAACAACAATGACAACTGCAACCAAAAAACAGCCTGGTGTTGTGGCAGGCACCTGAAGTCCCAGCTACTTGGGAGGCTGAGACACGAGGAATCTTCAGCCCAAGAGTTTGAGGTTGCTGTGAGCTGTGACACCACAGCACTCTACCCAGGGTGACAAAGTGAGACTCTGTCTCAAAAAAAAAAAAAAAAATTTCTGTCTTTTACTTATGATTTGTTTGTTTATTTATTTTTTAAAGACAAGAGCCTCACTATGTTGCCCTGGGTAGAGTGCTGTGATGTCACAGCTCACAGCAACCTCAAACTCTTGGGCTGCAGCAATCCTCTTGTCTCAGCCTCCTGAATAACTAGGACTACAGGCCCCCACCACAATGCCCAGCTAATTTTTCTATTTTTAGTAGAGACAGGTCTTGGTCTTGCTCTTGCTCAGGCTGATGTGGAACTTCTGTGCTCAAGCAAGCCAACTGCCTCAGCCTTCCAGAGTGGCAGGATTATAGGCATGAGTCACTAGGCCTGGCCTGCAAATGACTTTTAAATGACTCAGGAAGAGAGGAGGCATATAAAATGGAGAAGATAAAACAAAGAATGGTAAAGTATTTTAAGGTACAGAGATATTCATTGTTCTGTTTTTCTAACTTTTTTGTAGGTTTGTACTTTATCAAAATATTGAGGGGGCTTAAAAATAAAAACAATCATATTGTGCACATTTAACAGAGACCTGTTTCACAATCTTTAAATACATATTGCAAAACCACTTACTTTACTGGGGGTTGTAAGCATTAAAGTCCTTTGCAGATTTTCCTTTTCGGCCAAACAGAACTGCAGTCTGCCAATCTCTTCCTTGAAATGAACAATCATGCTTTCTTTGTTCCCATCTAAATTCTTTAAAGTTTGGACCTCTGACATAAGCTTGGTATTTTCTATTTCTGTATTCTTCAAATGTACCTGAAAAGCATTTGAAAATGCCAAGAATATTCTAATTCCATAATCTAAATTAGTCAAAATTTAAAATACCATTATCTATAACCCAAAAATAAAGGAAGAAAAGACATATTACACTAAGTGTCAAGAGATCCAGATTCTGCCAAATGACTAGGTAAGCATGAAAAAGCAGAACATGGCTTTCCTAAGCATTTTTATTTTCCATAGAAATTATCCCAAGGTCTAACTATATTACCTGATCTCTACAGTCTTTTTCTGTAGCTTAATGGTTTCAGGCTCTCTTTAAAAATATAAATGGATTTGGTTGCTCTTTTGAAGAAACCAATTATGTTACAGGCACATTTAAATATGAGGGCATGACCAGAGCTGGAAAACTAGAAGGGGTATATTCAAAAACCACATCTGAAGCAATTCCATGTTTTTGCGTGTGAAAACTACTATGTCACTTACTTCCCATGTGCCTATAAATATGTATGTTGACTAACCCAACTATGTTGATTATCTCATGAACTCTGGAGCTCCTGATTTGCTCATAACAGATATACAAATCAAATTCCATTAACTGGAATTATAAAGAGGACAGACACCTAATGTCTACTATCAGCATATCCTCCTTTGCTTGGAAGTACTAGAGATAAGTGAATTAACCATATTTCTTGCACTTTACTCTTTAAATGTATGAAATGCTGAAGAATTAATCCTGTTCACAACGATGAAATACAACTCCTGATTCTCTGAAGATGCCAACAGCCAATACATCTGTAGCATCGCTTTTAAAAGAGTTACCTAATTTTCGCAATCATCAAAGTGACTTAACATGAGCTGACTTAACTCACAATGTTTTTAAAATTCCTTATCTGGAACTGTTTTCAGGAAATGCTTATTAGCCACTTAAGAAAATAAGTCTCAATTTGAACCCATATTATTGACAACTAGGTTAAGCACCTTGTATTTCAGAACTGGTTGAAAAAGAAAAATTTCAGAACAAGAAGGCTTGTAAGCTGTGAAAATATTTTTGCAAAGTGACATTCTCTGAAGATTACTCCAAAAGTCAAACTCTAAACATAATCATCGAAGTAACTTAATGTTTTCTCCAAGGCACATATATATGTCTTTAAAAGGAGAGAATACTTGGTTATTTAAATTCTGATAAACTTCTCTGACTTACATAGTACCTAAGCATATGGGTCCTTATGAAAGCTTTAAGATGCACAAGAATCAAGAAAAAAATCCACGTAGACAGAAACAAATGAAGCCCTCTCAGCAGCACTGATAAGCCAAGCGAGTTGAAACTTGTATGAATGAATCAGAAAGGAGACAGTTGATTGTGTTTCTTGGAAGTAAAACACTGAACTATAACACAGTCTGTCTCAAAACTTTCATAGTGACCCATGTAACTAAAATAGCAGCAAATTAATATCCTAAAAACTGTAACTCTTAGGGGCAACACACAATTTGATTCTGACTTTTGCCTTGCTCTCTCCTGGATCACTCACTGTCAGAAAAGTTGGCTGCCATGCAGTGAGGACATCAAGTAGCATAAGGAGAGCCCATGAGAGAAGAGATAAAGGTCTCCTGCCAAAAGCCAGGTAAATGAGACATCGTGAAAGGAGACGCTCCATTTCTAATCAAGCCTTTAGGTGACTGCAGCCCTTGCCAACATCCTAACGATAACTACAAAAGACATCAGTGGCCAAAACCACTTAGCTAAGCTGTTCCCAAATTCCTAACCTGTAGCCCAGCAGTTCTCAACCTGTGGGTCGCAACTCACAGGAACTGTATTCAAGGGCCGCAGCCCCTTAGGAAGGTTGAGAACCACTGCTGTAGCCCTTAAGTTTGGGGGAGCAACAGACAACTAATAAAAGTGGGAAGAATAAATTACCTTATAAAGTTCCTTCTCATCCTTTTCCATCTTCAACTGACATTCAAGTTGTTCTCTTTCATGTTGTACCTTCCTGAGTTTGTCCTTTAAACTGAGTTAAGATAAAGTAACATTAGTTAAGAACAAATAACATTATGTGTTAGACATAAAACTTTTCTAAACATGGAAATTATTTTTTAAAAGCACCAGAAATACCTGTCTAATTCAGTCTCCTTTTCAATTGCTTTATGTGTCACTGACACAATATCCTCCTCAAGCTGGAGAGCCTTGGATGTAGCATCACTGTATCTCTTCTTACACTCTTCATTTTCCACTTTTAAGGACTGTGATGCTTCAATAAGACCCTAAGAACAACAAGGTATTTTGAGAAACATTGAAATGTAATTGGTTAAGGCAAATTTGTGTATCTTAAACACTATGTATTCTTAAAATTTTATTCTCAAATTTGTCCCCTCCAAAATTTGTAAGTTATGACTACAAAATAAACCTGAAATTCTAATATGTCAATTTTCAGTATGTACCCCCATAATTATGTACAACTATACGCATCCGTACTTATCAAAACAAACTTTTAATTCAAAATAATGAGTTTTCACATGCTAAGTTAATCAATTATTAATTCATATCTATTTCCTCATCACCCCCCCAAAGTTTTCATGTATGTACCCTAATTATTGATTTTACCAACTTCTCCACCAGAAGGCCAGCGACAAAAACTAATTTTCTTTTATTAGTCACTTTCCTTTTTCACATTTCCCTTTTCAATATTACCCCACTAACACATCAGGTCTCATATTTACTATCAATATTTAAAACCCACTCCCTTTAGCATACATCAGTGTATGCCATCAAAGTACCAAAATAAATGTTCTTGCTAGTGTGATCAGGCCTAAACTAATATTCAAAGATACTAAACAAATATAGAAAAGATAGTAAATGCAATAAACTAAACGTATTTCTATTTAAAATAGAATATTCTACTCTAATTCAAATATTTTAAAAGTATCACATCAGTCAAGACAATTGAGTAACTCATGAGAAGATGACCAAGTGTCTAAACTTCTGTCTTAAAATCTATGAGAAAAAGAAAAAAACCTTTCTGCTCAGGTTTAAGACCAGCCTGAGTAAAAATCAGTGAAGCCTATCTCCACAATAATAGCAATATTAGCTGGACATAGTGGCATGTGTGGGTAGCCCCAGTTATTTGAGAGGCTGATGTAAGAGGATCACTTAAGGCCAGGAATTTGAGGTTGCTGTGAGCTGTGACACCAGAGCACTCTACCAGGAGCAACAAAGTGAGACTCTGTCTCAAAAATAGAAAAGAAAAAGAAAAAACTTATAATTTACTGAATGCAAAACATGAACTAATCACTTTATCTATGAGCTAGTTACCTTTCTAGTGAATTACAAATAAATTAATTAAGTCACATAATCTTTCTCTGGTACCAATAAAGGTATCTGACAGCTTCTCAGCATCCAGGCCTGTTTTCATGTCTGAGCTAAGCAAAAGTATCTTTAACAAGCTAAGTCTTTCTTAGCATGAAAAGGCTACAAAAGATATGGCTACGAGCTCTGATGCATATCAAATAACTGAGAATTATGTTTCCTTTTAAAAACATTAAAAGAGCAAAATCTACAACATAGTTTTTGAAAAATACTTCAGTTTGTAATATTGTTTTTTTTTTTCAGTTTGTAATAAATATTCATTTAGTCACTATTCATAAATCATGCCAAAAGGACATCGTAACTCTAATGCTAAAATTTTTAAATGGCCATACTGCCCAAAGCAATCTACAGATTCAACTCGATTCCTACCAAATTATTGTCATTTTTCAAAGAATTAGAAAAAAAAATCCTGAAATTCATATGGAACAACCAAAGAGAACCAGAATGGCTAAAGTAATCTTAAGCAAAAAGAACACAGGTGGGGATATTACATTATATGACTTCAAATTATATTACAAGGCTATAGTAACCAAAACAGCATGGTACTGGTATAAAAACAGACACATGTATCAACAGAACAGAGTACAGAATCCAGAAATGAGACTACACACCTACAACCAACTGGTCTTTAACAAATTTAACAAAAATGTACACCAAGGGCAGTGCCAGTAGCTCTGTGGGTAGGACACCAGCCACATACACCAAGGGTGGCAGGTTCAAACATGGCCTGGGCCAGCTAAAACAACAATGACAACTGCAATCAAAAAATAGCCGGGCGTTGTGGTGGGCGCCTGCAGTCCCAGCTTCTTGGGAGGCTTAGGCAAGAGAATTGCTTACCTAAGAGTTTGAGGTTGCTGAGAGCTGTGACACAAAAGCACTCTACCCAGGGTGAGAGCTTGAGACTGTCTCAAAAAAAAAAAGGACATCATATCTAATAAGTGATGTTAGGAAAACTGGATAGCCATATGCAGAAGAATGAAACTGGATTCACATCTCTTATCACATACAAAAACTATTAATTCAAGATACGTTCAACACTTAAATGTAAGACTTCCATCTAGAAGAAAACCTAAGAAAAACTGGACATTGGCTTAGTTAAACAATTTATGATGTAGTCCTCAAAAGCAAAAGAAACAGGCTCAGCGCCTGTGGCTCAAGCAGCTAAGGCGCCAGCCACATACACCTAAGGTGGCAGGCTTGAATCCAGCCCAGACCCGCCAAACAACGATGGCTGCAACCAAAAAATAGCCGGGCGTTGTGGCGGGCGCCTGTGGTCCCAGCTACTTAGGAGGCCAAGGCAGGAGACTCGCTTGAGCCCAGGAGTTGGAGGTTGCTGTGAGCAGTGAAGCCATGGCACTCTACCCAGGGGGACAGCTTGAGGCTCTGTCTCAAAAAAAAAAAAAAAGCAAACGAAGCAAACAAAAACGGCAATAGACAAATGGAACTTAATTAAATTAAGAAGTTCTGATACCAAAATGATATAGTAGACAACCCACAGGATGGAAGAAAATATTTGAAAACTACACATTCAACAAAGAGCTTATATCCAGAATCCGAGGAACTCAACAACCAAATAACTCCATTAAAAATTAGGCAAAAGAATAGACATTTTTCCAAAGATGCAGCCAACAAGCATATAAAAAAATGCTCAACATCACTAATCATCAGAAAAATGCAAATTAAAACCACAATGAGATACATTATACCAGTCAAAATGGCTATAATTAAAAAATCAAAAAATAACAAAAGTTGGCAAAGATGCAGAGAAAAGGGAATGCTTATACACTGTTGGTGGGAGTGTAAATTAGCACAACCTCTAGGAAAACAGTTCAGAGATTTCACATAAAAGTAAAAACAAAAGTATCATTTGAGTCAGCAATCCCACCACTGGGTATGTACCTGAAGGAAAAGAAAACATATTTAAAAAACACTTGCACTTTTATGTTTATTGCAGCACAATTCATAATAGCCAAGTCATGGAATCAACCGAAGTGCCCATCAACCAATGATCCAAATTTTTAAAAATGTGGCCTGCACACACTTGTGTATGTGTATACTACTCAGTAATAAAAAATAAAACTCTTTCTGAATGGAACTGGACACCATTATCCTGAGTGAAATAACTCAGAAACAGTCAAATATTGCATGTTCACATTTGCAAGTGGGAACTAAATAATGTGTATACACGGACATAGAGAGTGGAATAATAGACACTGAAGACTTGGAAGGGTGAGAAAGTAGAAAGGTTGAAGGGGGGTGAATGATGAAAAATTACCTACTGGGTACTATTCAGGCCAGACTTCACCACTACTCCAAAGCTGACCACCCTGACCTAATTTCCACAGACTAGACATGAACCACTATGTACTAAGGCCCCATTCCTTATGCTGACCACCTCCATATGTTGACCTGTTTGGCAAAAACTCCCTTGAGTGGTAAACATACAGAGGTTATACTATATACATAAAACTGCACTCACACTCCCTAAATTTGTATTTAAAAAACAAAAAAGAGCACAGATGAGGCCATTACTGAGGGCCATCAACACAATAATTCTACCTAGTAATTGATCTCTAAGTATTGCTATGAGAATTCACAAAATTTCTTTATGTAGTGTTAGATACACAAAAACTGGTGAGAAACCATCACAATATTTGTGATATTAAAACAGAGGGAAAAAATCTACATATGATTAAGTTCACTACATTGTATATCAAGACAAAACAATCACAAAATTTGGGGCAAAAGGAGATAAAGAGATTTAGGCATTTTGGATTCAGGCAGGGGACTGTTTTTCCCACCCAAAGTTGGAAAATGACTGTTACAAATTCCCACAAATCATTACTCTCAAATGTGAATAACCAGTTAAAGATTATGAAGCTAGGGAGAACAGGGTTTGCAGGACAGAGTATCACAGAAAAGATAGATATAAAAAGAAAAAAGAACTCCAGAGATCTGCCAGGAGTCCCCTTCAAGTCTTGAATTGATTACTGATCAGCATATGCATGTGAGAAAATTAACCCCGACTGGAGAATCACCCAAAGACAATTTTAAGGGAACAGTGCCCGAAACTCAGAAAAGGCCAGGAACAACACCCTGTCCTCACCAGGCAGAGTGGAAAACTTCCTAAGTCAAGGGAAAGCAATTATGTGTATTCTCTAATTGAAAGAAGAGTCTGTCCTTAGTAGTAGGGAGATACTAAATGGAGACTAAATGCTGCTCTGGTACCATCAGAGATCAAAGTGTTTCCAAGTAAACAAACCGCATCCCAGAACAAAGCTAAAGAATATTTTTAAGGCTACAAAAAACACCATCATTCAAGGTAAAAATCACAGTATCTGGCATTCAATAAAAAATTCCTAGGCATACACAGAGTCAGATAAATACAACCCATGATGAGGAGAAAATCAAGCAAAACTGATCCAGAAATGACCCAGATGACCCAAGTTAGTAGACAAAAGACATTTAATATGTGTATTCCGTATGTTCAAGAAGCTGTAGGAAAGACTGAACATAGTATACACAGAGACATGGACGATACGAAACAGACACAAATCAAACTTCTAGAAATGAAAAACAACATCTCAGATAAAAAGTATAATGAATGAGACTAAACACTGCAGAAGAAAAACATCAGTGAACTTTTTTTTTTT